TGCTTAGCATATAAAACTGATCTTTTTTTTTGAAGTGGAAGGGAGTTGGTGAAGAAAATCTTTAGTTAAATGTGTAAGCTTTTCATACAAGATGCATAAGGTATCCATTTCTCTTATTAAAACAAAATCTCTTTCATTTACAGAAGCAGTTGTACTGTATGTTCTGTCTCATTCTTTTGGCCACAACACCAAAGCCTATGAATCTTACCAACCATTAAACTGTACAAGAGGTCATGATAGAAATGACAACTAATCCCTCGAGACATTCATGAATCAGGGACCGGTCTGTTGCATCAGATACTCCGCCTATATCATAGTACCAAAGCTTCGTAAAGCAAAGTGGTGAGAAAAGTAAAGAGTTCCAGGAATTGCTGAACAGTGCATAAGGTCGTAAACATGGCTTCTATTTCTGTAGTCTATACTTTACAGCTTGAAACACACACACCCCAGATTAACTCCCTAATTTTTGGAGAGTTAAGGACATGGATCAGTCACACACGATGATGTTCCAGCTAGAAAGCACCAAAAACTAATGGTTTTGAGGTTGACGAGCTAAATTTAGGAGGCAGCTAAATGTAATTTTCCTTTTTCTCTTTGTTGTGTGGAGGGCCAGAACCAGTGTCTAAATGCTGTTGGCTTTACATGCTTGAAATGATAGTTTTGTCACGGCTATGTCTAAGCTGTAGACTATGAAACAGAACCATGAACTTGGAACAGTCGCTTCCTGTTCATAAAATGTTAGGATTACGGGTAATGTCACCAATCAGTTGGAAGAATTCTGCACCAGAAATTAAGAGCATTCAACCAACAAAATTAGGAAATTTCTACCTATCTTCCCTATGCCATACAAATTTCAAGCAAAATTCTTGGCACAGATGCGAAACTACATTGGCATCAAGATGTTAAAAGGATTATGATCAGTCATCGCCATTTTCTGATTCCAATGCAAGGCTCTTAAAGGATTTTCTCATGCCTCTTTGTTATGTTACACCTAGGTTTTAAGCATCGGGTGCGAAACTGCTTCACTTCTGGAGCTATTGTAATCCAGAAAATGGTACAGTCCCTATTCATCCATCCATTAGGAGGCAAGTTACGCAACCCTTTATCCACATGTTGCTAATTTAGACGATGTCTCACGTTACTAAATGGATATCATATCAACCAGATCCTCTTGACCCATAGAAATGTCTGATGTCTTTAAAGAACCGAGTAATTTTTTTGTTTTTTGGGGTAAGTAAGAACCGAGTAAGTTGTCATATAAACAAAGCATGCTTAACTTGTGGCTATTATGCTAGTTACATTCGGACACTTTTCCATAGCCTAATCACCTGAAATTCAAAATTAAGTTTCCAGCAATAGATTGATCAGAGACAGAAACTAACCTAGTTCAGCAAATAAAAATTCATTTGGCATTGGCACCAGAATTTGCTCACGACAAGTAAACTTCCATGGTACAACATCTTGCATTCATATCAGAGCCGTTGGTTTCCAGGGCTTTTTTCATTCCAAGAAATGAAAAAAGCTCAGCTAAATTATGGTAAAAATGATCAGATCACATGAAACAAAATTTCAATTATGTAAGATGCTGTGAAAAGATCATGCCAGTGCAATTGCACAGCTTACTTGATCAACCAATTAACAAAACAAAGATTACAAATCATCAACATAGCCTGAACGAAGCAATGTCATCCAGATCAGCACTTGTACAAGATTGCCTGATCCTCAATTCCTCATCACTATTTACGCTTTATCTTCCTTTCAGTTGGAAGCTTGACAAATACAATACTGTGCAGTAAGGGTCCTAGGTAACTTTGCTATAGTCATATTACATTTGGCAAAGCAAATGGATTACCGTGGAACAAGCCAGAAAGAGTTGAAGATGGACTACGTTTATGAGGTAAGAGGAGACAATGGCTTTAATTTCTCCAACAACTTTTCAGCTTTGATAAATCCACCAAGTGGTCCAAGAGATAAGTATTTTATGGATTTCCAACTGTTTCAAATCCGTGAAATTAGAAGATGCATTTGTGATTTTTTGCAGAAGTTGAGATCTTCTCAAATTAAAAAAAAAAAAATGCTATCCAAGCTAATGGCACAAGGGGAAACAAACCTTGGAATAAAAGGAAGTGCTAAACAATGAAGGTGGAGATGATCAACACTGTTAAAAGGAGGTTGATGAAAACCAAATCTGTTCATAGTCATACATGGAAACAAACAAAAGAAATATAGTTCAGCATTTCTTTTCCCCAGTAGATATCTGGAGGTGAACCTACAATCTATTCAGACAGCCATCAAAGTCGCACTATGAAAGAATTATACTGATATTCATTAAATGAACTTGTAAAGTGCAATTCCATATAAACCCAGTCAACAAAGTTAAATTTACAACCAAAAGTATGTAACTAAAACCTATGCTATTACTTTGTCAACTAACTGTTGACTTGACAACTTCTATTCCTTTGCAAAGTCTCCATCTTACCTCCCATGAAATTAAAGAAGAAAAGAGAGAAATTAATTGTACTTGACCATTCCACTGATCTATTGCTCATAAAAAATCATGCCACTCCTCCTAACATGTGAATATGATATCCACCACTGAGATCATATTAAAGAGTGTGTAAAATGTGTTTGGTAAGAACAAAAGATATGTAAAAGGCACTGCACTTCCAAGATGGTAAAGTATACAAAAGACTGTTCTGCAGACTGTGCTTGTATGGTAATGGTAAAAGGTGAACCATAAACAGAACAATTATTCAATTTTTCTTGCCAAATATTAAATGAAAGAAAACTAATTACACAATCCAGCTATTACTGAAAGTATGCAAAGCATTATCTACAGAATACTAAAATTTGACGAGTAGTCTGGCCAAATTCTATTCTTGCTACCATTTTTATATTCTCATAGGAAGTAGTTGACCGTAAACTTCTCAAATGAAGAAATAAAATTTCACATAGTTTAAACCATTATTTTTTGTTTACACCACCCTCATAACAGAACAGAGTCAGCAGATCAAAATTTGTGAGAGCTCATAACCGAGTTTTTAAGCTCCAGAGAGAACATTTAGCTAATGAAAAATGCTAGAACCTCAGGCTTCATAAGTAATTTGTTTGGAATACTACAGGGAACTTTTTCTGTTGAACCATTGCGTTTGCTGTTTTTCCTTCTTCAAATGGGGATGACGATTTCACTAGCTTTCAAGCTATTCATAAATACTGGAAGGAAAGTGGTACAAGGAGAAATTGAGAAGATTAATGGCCACTCCAGCTTGATGGAAAGAATGCACATAAAAGGCATCTAAATACATCTTGTCACTCCATGGAATAGGTAGTTTTTCATTCTCATTCTCTTCTACACTTTCAATTTGTAGGAGATGTGGGGGATGGTTTGGGCTGTCAAAGAAGTTACAGTGGATGCCGTAGGAGTGCCTGACTTAATTTTATGCACAGAGCTGCTAAAACCTAGTATATTTATCATGAAAACCATGAAAAAACCACTGAACACACTACTGTTTAGAACCAGAATCCTGAATTCAACTTCAGTTTGCTCCTCGAGTATAATTCTCTGACCTATTCAAATGTAAAAAGGCATCAAGAATTAAGTAGACCTTGTGCATGTCTAAAGATACTACTACCTGAAATGCTTGGAATTAGGTGCATCCTTGCGCAACAGAGTTTGTCCCACATCTAACATGTGACTCACTGTAAAAGAAAAAGTAGAAGATCATTCACAACAAGTACAAAAGAAAAAGCCATTTTCTATATACCTGAAGTAATCAGCTTTTCATAGCTAAATAAACTTTTCTTACCTAATGCAAAGTCTTCATCTCTCCTCTGAAGGTTCCTCACTGTTGGAATGTGCTCTATTGGAATTACCAGGTAATGCCTATTAAAATATATCGGATAATCATCATAAATTATTACCATTGGGTGTTCCCAGATCCCAAGTATGCAAAATGTATATCAAATGAAGCTATTTAACTGGAAGTGGGATGAATGTCTTTGCCCTTTATACACTACATATAAATGGTATATCACATGTTTGAGAAGCAAAACGTGAGATCAACACATTTAAGCGAATTGCTAAAACTTGAAGGATAATGTGTGTAATGTTCAATTGGTGCCCTTCCATCGTTTAGCTCACTGACAAGATCCAAATCACAATTAATCACAAACAAGTATATAAGAACTCTTGCCGGGGTTACAGTCAGCTAATAGATTGATCAGCAGATTCACGATACTGAATTCTTATGAATGAAAGCAATCAAAGTACAAGGGAATTTGCAGCAATTTAGGCAAGCGGAACTGATATTTCCAAAGGATTGACAATTCTATAAACTCAAACACGTGAACAGGAAAATAAGCAGCAGCTACAATCAACCCAGTCTGAGTAAACGGATAAACTGGCCAGCAAAACACGACACTGAAGAGAATCAATCACAATCAGAGTATATCTACTCACATATGGAACAATATCTAGACAGAGAACATGTTGAAATCAGAAACGAAATGAGGTAGCAATTCAAATTATGAAAATTTGGGACCTGAATGCAGAAGGGTTGATGTCCTGAAAAACAACCACCTTTTCATCCTGTAAAGTCAACACATTCAAGAACATAAAAATTACAAAACTTTACAGCCATTCCCTCGTAGGTTCTGCCTATTCAATTGCAATAGTAATAGGAGAAGAAAGAGAGAGCGGCAGAAGGAATGTACAGAGTGGAGGAGAACAGTGGAGGTGGAAGAACGGGCAATCTGGCAGAAGATGCAGGAAGATGCTGATGATGGAGCTCGCATCATTTCCGCCAGCTTCGCCCTTGGCCTTTCAAGAACTTCTCTCACGTTTTTGAGCCAATAAAATGATGGATTTTTAGTCGACTTTCCGTTTCTTTGGACGTTGTCCGCTTGTCCCATACTGTTTGTTCGTAGGAAGAGAAGAGTTTGGTTAAAAGCCCATTCATCCTAAAAATAATCCATAACACCGTATCCTAAGCGGCCCGACCCCCAACCCAAACTTGATGCTTTCCCTCTTCCTTGAGCCCCGACTGCTCCCCAACCGCCTGCTTTCCCTCTGCAGCCTCTTCACCATTCTTAAAAATCCCTCCTCCTTTCAATTCAAGTCTAGAGCAGTCAGAAACATGAGTTCTGATTCAGCTCAGCGGATGTTCCAGCTCAAACTCGACCCACTCACTGGCAACTCAGAATGGGTTGTGATTGAAGAAAACCAAACCCCAGAAGAGAAAACCAAGGAGCCCCTTTTGGCCACCACTTCTTATCTTGACATGCTCAATGATTCTCACAGAAACAGAGCATTTCGTCAAGCCATTGATAAGACCATTACTAAGCCTTGCCATGTACTTGATATTGGGTAATTTATATCTGCAAGTTTTTTTCACTTTTAACTTTTGACTAACAGAAGTTTGCTTGGTACTAGTCAAGGATAATTGAAAGTTGTGATCAATGAAAATTCCATGTATAAAAAATGATCAAGCAGGTCAGGGATGTGAAAGATTAGACTTCTACTAATTAATGTAGAAGCCAAGGACTTAGGACTATAGACTTGGAAGAAAACAAGGTACTATATTTATGAGAGTTCTACAATTGCTTCAGTGTCTCTTGCATAATTTACATTCATTTATAACGTTAATGCTATCCATACCAGCATTTTGTTAAGGTCAGAAACAATAGAAAAAACGGGAGAAAGAAAGCATTGTTTGATAGTTGGAATTTTTATGAGAAATAAAAATTTGGAAGATATAGCATTCCTTTGTTAGCATAGTATTCTAAGGTGCATCTTAGGTAGAGGGTTCAGAACTTTTGCTGGTATTGATGTTATTCTTTTGACAACATTTGTGTTTACATGTGCTTGCGAGTTTTCTATCAGACTGGCTACATCGTTACCTATTGAAGGATTGAAATGTCTTTGCTCTTTTTTTTTAATTTACTGTCTTATGTATTGTGAACCCAATATTTTGCTTTCAGTGCTGGGACTGGTTTATTGTCAATGATGGCTGCTAGGGCGATGGGTCTTGATGATTCATCCACGAGTTATTGTCCAAAAGGAAAGGTAACAGCCTGTGAATCATACCTTCCCATGGTAAAATTGATGCGCAAAGTGTTACGAGCAAATGGAATGGACAAGAAAGTACGTGTCATCAACAAGAGATCTGATGAATTAGAAGTTGGCATTGATATGAGTTCACGTGCTGATGTTCTTGTAAGTGATGATATCGCACACACAAGTTTTAAATATTATGACAGAAGAAGGTTACAGCTATAGTTAATCAGGAAAGGGTAACTGTTAAGTAATGAAATTTTGTCATTAACTGCAAATGTGAATATGGAAATTGCTACCCTATTGACTAGCTCTATTTTAGATTAAGCAGTAGCTTAGGCTTGTCAAAATACATAACTTGAACTTTTTCTAAGAAGCCGGTTATTGTTCAACGTCAATCTTCTTTTTTTCCCTTTTTTTCACTCTCTGCTTCTTTTAAAGTATTTGTGGGGCCAGACAAGTGAGGCCCAGAAGCTGCATTGCCAAAACTGTTACCTTTTGTTGAAGTAAACCATTTCGGTTCTTTTCCATAGTTTTTTATGATTCTTTTAGTGATGAGTCCAGTGGATTTGAGGCTCGACTCTCTCCCTGAATAAGAAACATTACGAATTCTTCATCAGACTTCTGCCAATGTTATTTCATCAGAGCTGCTGTTCCCCTGCATTTTTGTTGGGTAAATAGATATGCATCAAATGGGAGGCACATTTGAAAAAGCAGAACTTCTGTGGTACCTTCTTTCTTTTTCATTTGCAAATGCAATGGACTACAGAAGATCGAGAGCCATCAGTTTAATCTAGTTGACCAAAATAACAGAGTAGAGTTGCCGGCTATTGTGGCTGACTATTTCTGTTCGAAGTATGTCTTGGGTGAGACAGCTGAATTAAGCTTCTTGTATAATCTATTTTGCGTGTTACATAATCATTTTTAATAGCTAACTGCTGCTGTTAACCTGGAAACAAGGCTATAAGTTGAAATAATGATCCATTAAGCTTAATATTCGACTAAATGCACCCATTATAATATAAAATTAATGCATGTCAAAGTCAAAGTAGTTTGCAGAGAGCTAATCTTCTTGTGCATTATCACAAAATCTTTTTAAAAGATTTTCAGTTGGTGTATTCAGTAAGTACTAATTAGTATTTAGTTTACTTGATTCTCTATCTCATGCTATAAGATATGTTGTATAATATATATTTGTTTGTTTATTACTTATCATGCTATTACAGGTCAGTGAAATTCTGGACTCGGAGTTGTTGGGTGAAGGGCTGATTCCCACTTTACAGCATGCTCATGATAATCTCTTGGTGGAAAATCCGCAAACTGTACCATACCGGGCGACAACTTATGGCCAGGTGTCTTTCCATATTGAACCCATTTAGTCATTTGAATTTTATCTAATTGGAGTAAAATCTTTGGGTCATAATCCTATCTTCGTTTAAGCTCCTTAGCGAATCTTGTGAAAGCATGGCATTTTGTTCAAGGAGTATGATTAGCAGGAAAGAAAGATGCAGTTATTTTGGTATTTTTTATGTAAAAGTAGTGTGCTACAGTTGGTTATATGCAGTTATTTTGGTATTTTTTTAATGTAAAAGTAATGTGCTACAGTTGGTTATCATCATGGTCCATCAAGTACATTTACTTCCCTTTGATCTCAATGAAACCATGGAGAAACACCTGTTGATTGTGCCTTACTCAATATGAATGTTGGAAACATTTATATACTGAACCAAAATGTAGAACTTTGATCAGGATTTTGATTGTTTATCTCTTGACCTTATCGTTCTGTTTTGGCATTTCTTTAGATCAGCCAGCATCTTTTCTCTGACTAGAATCATTGTTTACAAAATCTGTTGATTTAAGAGGATGATTCTTAGACCATTACCTTGATTTGTGTATCTCAAACTTCTCAAAATTGAGGAAAATTCATTTTGAGAAAATGGTTTCTGGCATTGTGCCCACTTGCAAATTGGAAAGTAAAAGCCATTAACAGAATTATGGTTAGCTGTATGATGAACAAAAGTGTGGTGTGCCTCAAAAAATATCCTCCGAAGATGCAAAAAAAAATAGTTTTAACAAGTATATTTCTGATGACTGAGTACAAGCTAATCCGTGATTTGTAAGGCTGCAGGATTGGCAATAGAAGAATGGGCAAGATGACAACTACTACTGCAAGATAAAGACAGGGACTAAAAGGAGGAAGAGTATACAAGAATAAAGAAACTTAATTCTTAAGAGACTAAGCCAATCTTCTTTGAATATTGGAATCCTCATATTAGGTTTAAGAACTTGATGGTCTCCAAACCCATGGAGAAATGACTCAGCTCGCAAGAAAAGCTGTTTTGTATTGACTAGGATTTACTTCTGATTCACCGCAGTCTCCATTAAGACTGGGATTGTAATGGGGTGTTGCACACAAGTACAACTCAGACAAATTATGGTTCCAAATGCATTCTGCAACCTTCCCCAGTGTCATGTCAGTTAAGAAAAAACTACTTGTACTATAGGCTAGCATAAGTCCTAATCTTTTGCTTCTGATAGACAATCTGACTCTTGGGTTTGTATACTGAGAGCAAAAGTCTCCTTTCTACAACTTTTCGTATATGGATGAGCTATAACTTAATATCTGTGTCATCACTTAGTCATACTTAAGATTGACAGGAGTTTTCTGATATTTGCATTTAAAAATGATAAAGCTGTTCATCCTTTCTTTCACTGCTTCCCTTTCAGCTTGTTGAAAGCCCATACTTGCGGAAGCTTCATGACTTGAGATCAGGGAGAAGGATATGTGCAGGCATTCCTTTAGCAGAGAAAATGCTGATGTACATCCTGGCTTCACTCTTGCACTCATATGATTGGAAATCAACCAAAAGCAAACAGGCAGACCTTTCAGAGAAATTCGGGATTGTCATGAGGAAAAGCACACCATTATTAGCGATTCCTACCAAGAAATTGGATAAATCTGGTGTGCCTGCATAACAGAGCAGATCAGCCACCCCAACATAATTGCTGTTGGATATGATGTTAAATAAATTATCCGTTTTACTGCGTTGAAGCTTTTATTATCTCGTTATAACATTGCTGAATGATATATATTCCATTTTTCTACATCTCACAATTATCCCGTTATAACATTGCTGAATGATTCAAACTTCTCGACATTTCTTTATTGTCAAAAGGAAGTATTAAGCGGAAATGAGTTAAGAGAGGGAGAGAGCCACCACAAGTTATTGATACAAAGATTATCAAATGAGAATCCAGTTTATTGATACAAAAACCTGATATTATTATCTTGAATGCCAAATCATCACAAGAGATTGTCAATGCATCCTCATCAAGTGAGAAAATCAGGATACAAATAACAATCTTTAGCTCGTGAGATGTTTATATATGTACACAGTTGAGAAGAAAGGAACAGTCCATTGTTAAGCAGAAGCCGCAGCATTGCAAATTGGCAGATCCTTTTCAACATTAGGAGGGATGTTGAGAATAGGATTACTCTCAAAAAAATTGACTGGCTTTAGGTCAAAGCTTGATGACACGGTTGGCATGATGGGAAAGTCCTCTTGACATGGAACATGATGGAAACCTAATGTATACCACAGCACTATGTCCTTGTTCTCAATTGGTCGATTTCTGCAAGCAAAAGAAAGAGAATGCAACTCAGAAATTTGAGAGTTAAAATAAAAATCTTCAGTAAATGACACTTTTTCTCGAGGCACTACTAGAGAACCCTTCCTTTTTGGGTTCCAAGTGAAAGGCAAATAATTTATCTGAAGAACACTGTGGCTGATCTCTCTTCCCTTTCTCAATCTCATTCATCTTGTCAACCTCAGCAACACGATCATCCTCCTCTCTACTCGATATTTCCAGCAAAAAGTACATCAGAGAAACGGCACCTTTTTGGATTAGAGCATCATCTCGTGCTGATCCTTCTGTTTTCCCATCAAAGGATTCAGATTTTGATTCAGCGTGAATAGAAGATTCATCTTGAGATGACTCAGAGTTTTGGAAGGAAACAGATTTTCCCACACGAGTCCCAGATTGCACAGTCTTAAAGCTACTTGAAGGATCAGTTCCAATACAACCAAACTTGAACGAGGCAGGGGAACTGTCTCTGTCCTCATCCTCGACGTTATCTCCCCTAATACATAAATTTGGAGACATGGCATCCACTTCGCCCATCATATCATCCACTTCGATCATCGTTTTGCCTTTATGATTTTTTCTGGGAAGATTTGACACAAATTTTGCATCTTTATGTTGCAAGTTATCAGTGAGGCAGTCATGAACATCACTTTGGTCAGATGGTGACTTGAAGCATGACTCTAGATCAACAGAGGGTGATTTACTTCCAGTCATGATAGTGCTACTATCGGTGCTGTTGGAAGCCATCACTGTAATATTCAGGGTATCTTCTTTAGTCATAGCAGAAATGCACCTACTCTCTGGTTTTCTACTAGTTCCAACAGGTGACGAGACTTTGTGCCATTCACCACTCACTCTCTCTGAAACACTAGAAGAGGCACCAGCTGAGCACTCCATTACAAGGTACTCCTCTGAGTGAGGTGCTTCATCAAGCAGAGGCTTGTTAAGGTCTATGCATGCAGCTTCACGGGAAGGACAAATGTTGGTCGCACAAGATATACCCATACTTGGAACGTTTCCAAGCCAATTTTTAGCCCCTGCACAAGGTGCAGAATCGGGAATAAAAATCAAATAACTGATGTGAATAATTTGGTACTCTTATGTGAGAAAAATGCATAGACAATGCCATGCGTGCAATATAGAGATTATCAAAGCATGGGAAAGTGCCAACCTTGATCTAAGTTGTTCTGCTCTAGAAAATTTTTAGTCTCATCTACAAGTGACTGAGTTCTCTTAATTCCATCATCAAGATATTTATTCACGCCATTTGGGCAGCTGCAACTAATCTGGAAAACATGCAGGTTTCCAGAATCAGCAGAGCAAGCAGCACAGCCGAGTGCAGACTTAGGTTGGATATCTCTACTCGATGCTGTGGGAGCTGATTCCTCCAAGTCAATTGCATATTGGGAGGATATCGAAGTGAGCTTTTTATCCCAAATTTTCTTGCAACTCTTATTTTGCATAGTGTCCCCACTGATGCTCAAGGAAAGCTGAACTTCTTCTGAAGAAGCTCCTAGCTCACCATCAAAATACTGATCTACTTGTACAGGATTTTCTGCAGTACCCCAACCATCTCCCTTCTTAGGGAAATGCAGATCACTATGTTTCACGTGGTGACTGGTTGAAACTTCAGCATCCATAGGTCTTCGTGAGATTCCTTGAAAAGAGGAGCTTGCAGACTGTTTGGTGGACACATTAAGGACATTAATCAAATCAAAGTGTAGTACTCACAAATAGGAAACTTATTGTTTGGCATATAAGATTGCAAAGAATACAGCACAAGAGGCAAAGTAAACATTTTTGCTCCATGTAAAACTAGGCTGCCATTGCCATGTGTACGAGGGAGCTAAATATCTTAAGAAAATCCTTTTCATGCACCATTTAGATGATAAATGACTAAAGACTTTTTTTTCCTTTTCTGATGGACAGGAGCATAAAACAACCATGCCTCAGAGTAGGTTGTCTTGTCCAATAAAGAAACAAAAATGCAATCACCAAAAGTTTACTCTTATACCTACAGTTTATCAATTGCACAAATGTATAATATTGCAAACAATTCATATCATGTACCACTTAATTGATAAAAGAGTAATGACTTCTCTTTCCTCTTTTGATGGACAGGAGCACACAACCCATGCCTCAAAGCAGGTTGTCTTGTCCAATAAAGAAACAAAAATGCAATCACCACAAGTTCACTCTTACATCTACAGGTTATCAAAAATCGCACAAACGTATGATATTGCAAGCAAGCCATAACTTTTACAAGCGGAAAACGTTCATCTCACTCAGATTCAACCTACCTCTTTCAACCGCAAATTCTTCATCAGAATCGTTTGTATCTGGTACAACCGATGAAGTTCCTGGACCTGAACATCATAAGCAATGAGATTGAAAAATCAGCGTGCAAGAAGTCATGCTTAGTTCATGCAAGAAAACAATTTCAGCTAAGCCAAGGACCATGTCATAAGAACAGAGTACAATGTTCAGATACTCGTAGATTCAGGAGTGAGACCCAAATTTTACACAAGTTTTTGTGGGAAATAGGCATCACCAGATTGGTTTTCAAAATCGTCCCTGCCACAACCCCAAGCCCAAATATAGAAATTTCAATTGTCTTCAAAGATACACTAACTATAAAGCAGCAGATTTAGCTGATAGATCTTGGAGCATCAATTACTGACATAATTCATTACGAACAAAATTCACTTTCAGGCACGGCCATTAGATTGAATTGACTGATCATAAAGGCTCAGAGTTTGGCTTACTAGACAGCCATCACATAATTCATTAGCATGATGAAGAGAAAAGACGGTCAGGCTTTTCAATTATTACTTCGACAGGTTGCTCTGGCTATGAAGTGCATAATCAGTTTACCTGCTTCTTGAATGTATACTCCTGACTGAGCATTTTCTGCTTTAAAGCTTCTCTGGGGGATCCATCATGACTGTACTTCTGACGTAAATAATGATCACCTCTTCTGGGTAACATCCTGTCCCCTAATAACTGAAACTTCGGTCAGCACTAATTATTTTGCATACTCACGAGTAGTGCACTCTTCTGAGGAACTTTGATGTCGTAATCCGAGCCATGTTGCTGCAAAGCTATTCGTAAGTCTCCATTACTAAAATACAAATCCATCATCAGATAATGGGCTCATATCAGAAGTCAACAAATGCTTGTCTTGAAAATCAAACAAATCATAAAAGAATGGATAAGGCAGCAATGAAAAGCATATCAAATAATGGAAGTATGTTGTTTCAAGAAGATGCATATGATTTAAATGATGGAATGTTCAACAGGCTGCCAGACATGCAAAGGTGTGGAAGCTTTGAGTCCAACTATAAAATTTTCCTGCAGCTTTCCATACATAACACGATTTAAGAAGAATACATACATAAACTAATTCTCACATACTTCTAAGATATGCCAGGCTTCTAATAACCATATGCTAAGGAGAACATAGCCAACTTCCAACTTCCAGAGAGTGACCGATGTCTGATAAAGAAGATTCAGAAGAAGAAGCACGATCAACTACATTGCTCCCCCCCCCCCCAACAAAACCAAAAAAAAATAAAAGGCCCCTATAATGCTAGAATGAATCTAGCGACTAAAGGCCAAAAGTGTGGCAATGACTTCCAAGCTATGAAATGCCATCTTCTCAGTTCAACTTCAATCCGCCTGTCTCTGAATGCTGGAAACAGCCAAAAACATATCTTGGCCACAACGGGGTTAAAGCCAACTCATTCCCGTTAAAGTCTTGACTTGAAATGTCAAAATCCAAATTCAAGTGCAGCAAGATTAAATATTCAAAACGGGATATTTCAGCTGGCTCAACAGTTGCCCAAGTCGTTCTGAAGAATGTTTAAGGATCACGACTTGACCAAGTCTCGCAAAGTCTATATCAAAATTGACATGCTCTTCCCTTTATTTAAAAATCCAACATTATTCCTCCGCACAATAAAAAGCAAGAATAAAAGACAAGCCCAGAGCAGAAAGCCAGCCGTTAGGCATGTTACCTTGGACACAGATTATAGATAGAGCAGCCACAGAAAGCAGACGCAGAAAAAATGGATATTATATTGTATGAACTAAAAGCTTCTGAGTCTGGACAAAGATTAATCCAAACGGCAAAGAGCATTATAGAACTACAACAGATGACCAAAAAAATAAAATAAAATTTGCAGTCTTAAGTTAGTACTGGGACCAAAAAGTTCAAGATCCAAAACTACAGTTCATTTTCTTTCTCACATTATTCCAGCTACTACGCAACAAACTATAACTATTTCGCAGCCACGTTTATGATTATTGCATGTACAGTTCGTCCACACAGATGCACAAATATCCACACCAAAAGAAGCAGAGTATCCTATTCAATAAATCAATAAAAAAACAGAGGAAAATCTTGCAATAAAAATCAGGAAAAATGCAATCCAAGAGAAGCCCACATCACGAAATATATACTAAATATGCCCACATGAATCAAAGATACAGAATGAAAGAGATACCGTGACGGAAATGAAGAAGAAAAAGAGCACTGAGCCAACATTCGGGATCAAGAAAGAAAAGCCTGCTGGGTACTTATTCCTCCACCAACCTGCACATGTTAGAATAAAACAAAGGAAAGGTAGGAAGTTGAGGACTTCACAATATTACCACATTTATTAGGCTATATTTAGTGATCCTGGACGATCAAAATAAATGCTTCTTTCCATATCCATCCATATATCTACGTAGGTATTGCTGTATGTGTATGCGTAGAAAGAGAAAAAGAAAAGGAGAAAAAAGAAGAAGGGAATCAGATTGGGCTAAGAAGTCATGGTGATGGGGAAAGGGAAAGAAAAGAGAAGGAAAGGAAAGATAAATCCTTCAGGGGTGTGTGTTTTTTGAGTTCGGCACAAGCCAGCTGCATCACTCTTTCATTCCTCCATACAAAACACACCCTTTTTTGTTTTTGCTTTTGTTTTTTTGTTTTTTTGGTTCTTTTCCCCCTCTCTCTGCCTCCCTTTTTGCTCTCTCTTTTTCTCACTGGCTTCTTCTATGGTGGTTTTTTCTTGTCAAGTCAAGTGGTATCTAAGGATTTTCTGCTGTCTGCAAAATATATAAGCACTTTGGGATTTCTGATTTTAGTGAGAGAGGGGGGAAGGCTGAGAAGGGGGGGGGGGGGGGGAGAAGGCGGGCTTGTTATGGATGTCAGAGCATCGTTGGGCAGTGGGGCTGTTAACCACTCTGCGAAAAGGGACAAAAAGTAGAAAAATGGGCCACTTGAGGGAACCGAAACATACTATAGTCTACAGTATGACTATTACCCTTTGAATTTACTTTTGTTTCCCTTTACCTTTCCTATCTTTTTTTTTTAATTTTAGTAATTGTTTAATTTGTTTTGCAATGCCCCTTTTGGTAATCTCCTTTCCGTCAAGCCTAATTTGGGAACAGACAAGGACACAATAAAAGATTTGTGTATGATAAAAAAGATCAATTGAAAAACATTTTTGGAATAAGAAGATAAAAAAAAAATGGAAGATGATTTTATGATTAAAATCAAAATCTTTTTCTTGCCTTTTGCAAACAAATGGATTATCGAAATGAACTGATTATTATGCATAAAAGAACCCAAGAAAAGATAACTCAGGCAAATTTCCATAAATAATACTAAAAAATATTTGACCTCCAAATGAGACAACAATAGGATGTCATGCTCGCATGTACATTCTAATATTTATTTATGGGGCAGCCATTTACTGACAGATGGGGTAATCTTATAACCCTCCAAAAAATTCACATTTGGAGGACAAAAAAAAAAAAATTTTTTTGAGTATTATATGTAGAAATTTGCCAAAAAAACTCGCGATATTTTCTCTCCTACATGCTTGGGAGTTTAGAAATTGTCCAAAGTTAACATGTTCAATTTAGATGGTGTAAGATGTCACCGTTTTGATTGCATTTTTCTGAATTTTTTTGTAGAAAAATTATTGTAGCAATTTGATATATGTGAGGTAAAAAGGTGATTGAAAAATATGTCTACGGGAAAACGTAGCAATTTTTTCAATCCAAACGGGATCCACATATATAAAAGTCATGGAATGATTTAAAAGTCAACTTTTGAAAAACGATTTTAAGTTTTCTTAATCAAGTTGTGTATGATTAAAACTTGCAATGATTAATAGATCTATGTTTTGCTTAGTTACAGTTAACGGATTTCTTCATAATCATGCTAGTTTAGAATTGCTTTTTATTTATAGGGTCGATGACCCGAGGCATTTTTCATTTTCGTATTGCATTTTGAGGGGGGAAAAAAATCCATTTAAGTGATTCCTTCCCAAGTTCTGCCGATGCTCATAAATATTTCATTTGCTCGGTAACCGGCTGTATATATGTTTGCAAGCCATTTTGGAAGCACGCTAGGAGTACTTAGGACTACTGCTTATGAATCATCTTTGGCCCTGGTTCTCATTGCTTTGAATTATGCATACATTGATTATGAAAAGTTATTATAAAGAATAATCAGAGTCAACAAAAATTACATTTCGATAGGTTATAGATTTTATTGTTTTTCACTATTAACAAATTTTATAATTCAAATACAAGATCAAGTGAGAAAATCAAAATAGATAATTATCCAATAATTAAAATGAATAATCAATTAAAATGATGAATGTAGAACAAGCATAGGGGGTTTTTTTTTTTTTTTTTTTGCAGAATTGACCTGATGTATGTTGAATTCTTCATGCCACCAAAATCTTTATGATTGGCTGTTTTACTTGGAATTTTTGTAAAATACGTCTATTTGAATTGCTATTTTCTAGAGTTTTTTTATTAAAAACAAATGTACTGTATCGATTTGATATATGTATTGTTCTATTGCCGTGCTGAGAATACAATAATACGATATTGCTATTTTGATACAAGAATTTTTGTATGTAAACAAATATGTCATAGATTTGTGCCCAATAATGTGGTATGCTTATACGTCAATCCATTTAACAAATACAGTGGTAGTATACGATCACACCATTTACAATTCTAACCAACCGTCCACGGTCCAGATTCTCAATCGAGATAGATCAATACGAGCCACCATTATTTTTGGAAGTAAAATAAGGCAAGGATGGAGCCCTCAAAGCTAAAAAAATGTGAAGATAGTTGTTGAAGAATCAACGTCTTCTTTATTAGTTTTAGAATTAAAGAAAATTTTGAGGTTCCTAGCCTATGGGGACCATCCTTGTAACGATCTGACTTAAAGTATTGTATCGAAATCTAATCTAACTTAAGTCAGTATATCAATCGTATGGACCACGTCGTACACACTGTTGTCTACATCTACACAACTATAAAATCAGCAATTTCCTTGCCAAGACCCCAGGAGAAATCGAGTATGTAGCGGAGCCTGATGAAGATAATAAAATAAAATAAAGAAAACATTTTTTTGACCTATAAGAATAACTTTATTTCTTATTTGGCTAAGTGGACTCATAGTCTACGTGTAAAATAGATTTGATGCTTGATAGTAATTTCTTGTCTTGAATAACTGATATTCAAATTTAATAAACTCAAATTATAGTTTTTTTTTTTAACAAAGAGCAAACTTCATTAATTAAATGCTGGAAATCGTCCAACAAAAATTTAATTTACATCATTGCAAGCAGGTTAAACATGTATTAGAAATAGCAGACCGGATCTGCAATTTAACACATATACAATGAATTTGAAGAAATTTATAGTTTAGACAATGGTTACGTGACAAAAAGCAAACTTGCACATAAAATCCAATCAGCAAATTATATAGATTCATACTTGTAATTTTTTTTTTTAAAAAAATTATTATGATTATTATTTTGCTTTGTGCAAGAAAATTAGGTCGATAACCTCGCTTTTGTATTAGGATAAGACGAGAAAGGTGTATTGAATCGCTTTTTTTCCTATATTCTACGAGTGATATCAACGGATCTAGGCAACGAAAACACAATTCGGGGCCTCTCCGGTTGTAGATGCAATCGCAAAAACAAATTTGCTGCTCAAATTAATTGGCAACCGATCTTAAACTGTTTGAACCCCATTTTTTAAATTAATTTACTAAATATTGAAGTGTAAATTGTCTTCTATAGAATGGACCATATTAATCCCAAACCAATTAAGATCATTAATGGTTCTCTGCAATGAATTGCGGCTATCCCACGGGAAAAAAAATTTGTGCAGAAGCCAACTACTAAGCGCATGCGCTTTTTGTCGAGAATTGACGCTTGATGCAATTGTGATCTTGCGTCGGGTCAGATCAGATGCTCTCACTAAAAGCTAACCTTTTAATATCTCCGCATTGTGGCGTTGACTAAACCTTTCTTGAAAGCTTTGATATTATGCATTAAGAAGGTAAAATCATAACGCGGATATTTTTCTTGACAACCAGTAGAACTCTCGTAGTTTTTTTTTTTTTTTTGACAAAAAAGTAGCAAAGCCGACAAATTAGTATTCAAATTTGTTTGATTATTTTAATAAATTTGACTGATTTATTTGTCGTATTGAGTTTGAAAGAGCTCCTTTTTTTTAATATCA